GGGATGGAAGCTCAATACATCCGCAGACACGGAGCCAAGAAAAAACACTTCGTTATCCATGCTGTCTATGCTCGCGACTACCGCAATCCAGCAATCCTACTTGAACCCCATGAATCTTACAAGCAGGATTGGACGCGCTCTACAACGTAGAAGTTGAAAGATTCACATGGAATCGCCATGCCAATCAGCTACGCCCTCGAAAGTTTCCGATGCTACCAGCACGCTATTGGAAGAGTTAAATTTTTCGGATTTTGAGCTCCCCAGACAGTCGACTCCCGCCGTGTTCGTTGATGTTCCTGCCGCCGACGCCAATCACATTGATGTTGTGCCAAATCCTGATAATGCTGCGGCCAATACCGAAAAAAGGGACGCTGATGAATCCGTTAGTCGAATGTCTTCGCGTCCTGCTCGTGCCGCTCGCAAAGGACTCGTCAACCACCATGCAGTTTCAAGATCGACCCTCGAAGAAACGATACAATTGACTAATTAGAAAGGAGATGTTGTAGAGTGACACTAGGTTGCTTGTAAATGTAGTAAATGAACCTCTATAGTATATATCTCTTTTTTTGTTTACAATCATCCTTTAGGCTATATAAGAGCTTCCTCTTGCGGTAATATTCATCCTTTATTCTTCCTTCATTCCTCGCTTCTGACATTTGTACCAAACGCCAATAAAGCACTGATGCTATTCGTGTCCCGGATCCACAGAAAGAAGAAGATCACAACACTTAACAAATCCTAAACTGAAAAGCAATTTTTTACGCATTCTAACGGTATCATATCGCACTGCCGTGAGCTGTCAAGGTACTATACGACTACCTTAGCATTTTTGGCGAAATGTGATGGCTATTTAAGTGCACCAAAAACATCAAAAATTTTGTTATTCGGAATATACGGTTTTTATAATTTGCAAGTATTATGAATAGAAACAACGAGCATTGGAGAGACAAGCTTTTTCGTTATTTTACAAAGTACTGCATTTATTATATATCGTGGAGCTACCGCAAAAAATGCACATGCACATCGCCTATCCACAGTTTTTAGAAACTTGCATCTATGCATTTGAGTGAGTTTGCAGTAATCAGCACTTATTGTTTCATTTGGAATTTAAGGCCATGGAGCTGACTAATAAAATACAATCAATCAATGTGTTTAAGCACACAATATTTTGTCCTATACTGTAGAGAAGCAAAAATGGCTAAGATGACAAAGCAAATTTGTGATGCAATCTATCAGCAATCGCTAAGGAGCTTGCTGTAAATGATTCTCAATGACACTAAACAGATGATCTGATAATTGGCTTTGCATCACTGAAAAACATCACTTAGCTCTTTTGGATAAAAGTATTGTAATCAAATCAACGATTTACATCAGAAATCATAATCGGTTAAAAATCTGGCTGAAGAAAGAAGAAACGTTTGCCATAACCGAATATTATATTTAGATGAAGATGAGCAGAATGAAGTTCTGAATCATGAAGCATACAAAAACGCATGATGTGATCTAATGGCCTCAAAGAAATGAAAGCTATGCACAAAAGAAAGCTAGTACTCGCTTTTGTAGAGCAAATAGCCAAATTTTTTACCGTCTTTGATGTGAGTTCAAAACAAGCATCATACACGATGATTATAGCGTGGGCTTGCATTAACATGTTTAGACATAAATTCACACAGCATGTTATCGAAAAGCCAATTCTGGAGAGGACTGAGTTTCGGGCGTTCATTCATCAAGCCTTGAGCGAAGTGAGTATTTGCAGCGATACTTTATGTGAAAAATTTTTTTTGACAATGTTGACATTGACGATTTTTTGACATCTAATTTTTGGTAAAAAATAATTTTCAGCACCATATTCATGAAAATACCATTCGATTTTGAACATTGCAAGATTTAATTGAGGCAATGCGACTGGAGTAATTTCATGATTGTTGTGTGATTAAACGAAGACCTCCTCCACGTCGATTGGCGGATCATCCGAAAGCTCCGAAAGCATCGTTAAATTGCTATTCGATACATTGGTCACAAGCAACGGACATTCAAGTCACGAATTGCGAAATTGGTTTAAGAGTTAACCTATTTTTTGTTACAAGATCTGCCAGAGATTTTCTTTATCTAAATCTTCAAAGCTGATTACATATAAGCGATTAAAAGAAGTACTCGCATGTGACTGATACAGGGCTATATAAGTGTAAGAAAGAAGATTGTGTCCGTGTCGGTCCACACTCTTGATTTATCGCTTCAAATGCTGAAGGGCTTGCCTTCCCAATTCCTTTCGTGGCCACGGGTGCAAGCCTTCAGCAGAATCCTTTATAGTCAACATAGTATTACTCTATTTTGCAACCGCTTACAATGCCGACAATAATACTATGTGATAGGTAAAACAGGAATGTTGATCTTTTCTTTTCTGTTATCCTTGCCCCAGCCTTTATTTGAAGAGGTGCATTTATAATAAATTTCAAAGTTAACAATGAAATTCTTTCTTTTCACAACCCTGCGCTTTGTTTCTTGGTCAGCAGCGAGGCACTCATGTGTGGACCTTACGATCCCCTAGTGAGCAAGGCAGCTTCGCTTCATGCAGAGTCGAGGTAAATACTTTGAGAGTTTGCAGAGTTTATAAGTTCTTGTATGTAATGCAAAAATCCTGACATTTGGGTGATCATTGGAGCGACGTTCTCTTCAACATCTTTTCTCCTCTTTGCTAGAGTTCGAAAGAACAAATGGGTCTCGGCTTTTGAAAAAAACGCGCTTCAATTAAAAAGCCTACGCAGTTGGTGGGATTAGGGGAAAATCGTGAAATTAAAGCGGCAAAGGTGTAATCGCTTCATACACGACACGGGATTGGCGTTCTCTCCTGTTCGGGCAATCGTTAATAATGGCTCAAACAACTAGTTGGAGATTGATAGATAATTCATTCAAATCTGTGAAATCACTGGAGCTTAATGCATGATCCCTATATATATATATATAAAACTAAAAAATTGTCTGTTTAGAGGGTATGTGAGCTATAGAACGCCCGTCGCTCAACCGATTGGGCTAAAACTTTGCATACAGATGTTTTTGATTCCGACTGTTTTAGGATACTTTTTACTGAAGTTCGCCGGGTTCTTTCATCGATTTATTGATTTGTTTACGTTTTTCTAAGAAACTGGAGGCTTATCATGTTTAATCAAGCATTTTGTCGTGGTCACGTAAAGGAGGGCGGTGAAGCTCATTTTTACCTCAGAGTCACGAGGATGCGGTTTCAAAACGAATGTCTCAAGGTAAGTCATTCATAACATATAAGGGGGGGGGGGGCTCGCAGTGCAGGTGACCATTGGCCCGGGCTGGACCGGGAAAGCGAACTAGTGTGCTATAAGATCTAACTTAGGAGTGCATGACTAGCAAGATTATTTAGTGTACAGATTTCAAGGGTGCTCACATTCATCGGAGACACAGTAGGTGTTTTAAACAACTAGTCCTTGAGGATGTGGCGCAAAATGTTTGCAAAAATTGGACCTTTGAACGCTTATAATTTTTCCATAGTCCGACATCGCAGATAAGGAAGATGGGTTTGGATCCTTTGTGTACTGCTTTTAGGAACTCTTTTGATAGAGGAATCATCTCGATTGAAAAGATTACGACAATATTAGAAACTTCCCAACTTTCAATTGCTATCTGATCATCCTCTTTTCCATTTCGTTAAATTCCTTCTTTTGTGCATAAGCATGTCTAGGAAAAATTGACCAGAAGTTGCTACGGTCTGCTGTGGCTCAAAAACAACCCAATTAATAGTCTATAGCTTTACAGAGTCAAGAGAAAACATTAGCAACCGAGAACTTTCTGTAGAACTTGATTGGACGCAAGCTTTATTTGCTTCTTCGCTGAAAAGGCAATTACCGATGTTTTTGTTCTAAAAAAGAAGCTGATGAATTTACAGTTGAACAAGCGAAATAGTTGATGACAGAGTTGTACATATTTTGCACAACTTTATGATGTTTTATTTTTGACATAATTTGCGATAGTGTCTCTTACAAATGCCTAGGAATTACATAGCAGAGAAATCAAGATTATTGCAAACTCGTGTTTTCCCTTACACTCAGAAGATCATTTGTTATAGAGGACTGCATGTCGCTGAAAGTGGGAGGGTTTCGACGATGCAGCAGATATCAGCCTGTGCATGTACTAAAAGGCGTATTTGTGGCAGATGTCCAAATTGACCTCCCATTTTCGGCGACATATAAGGGTGTCCCAGAAAAATGTTTCGAACGTTTGATCGTTAATATCTCTCTTCCCAAGAAGTCTTTTGCCTTGCTTCAGGTACTGTTTTGTAGAGCTGGCTTCAACTTAGATTTGCATTATAAGACGAATCACCCATCTTTCTTCATTACTGTAAGATTACGGTAGAAACTTCAAGGAGGGTTTTGAGCCATGAAAGGCCATATTTTGCCTCAAAAAAGAAACAAAACAGCCTGAAAACTTTTACACTAGGCTAATTAGAGTTGCTGATAACAACTGTAAAGTTCCCAACTTGTTATGATGCTTCATTGACGAGTTATGCCAAGTAAGAGGTAGCGGCCATTTTTTCAATGTTCTTAAAAAGTGCGATTAAACCGTTTAGAAAGCTTCGTAATCTTTTGAATAGTTTAGCTTTGAACTCAGCGTCCATAAAAACCCTATTACACATGTTTTCATATTATTTTGAAAATTTTTGAAAAGGCAGCTTTTTCCATATTGACACCATATGTTTCAAGTTTCTACCGTAATCCTACAGTAGTGAAGAGAGATGGGTGATTCGTTTTATAATGCACATCTAAGTTGAAGCCAGCTCTACAGAACGGTACCTGAAGCAAGGCAAAAGACTTCTTGGGAAGAGAGATAGTAACGATCAAACGTTCGAAACATTTTTTTGGACACCCTGTAGTCCCATACCCCATTTGTTTCTCTGTCACTTATGCCGAAGACTTGTCTGTTCGTCGTTTTATCAAACGTTCTACGTACCGCTTACTTTCTCAAAATATTTTTCCAGGTAGTTCAAGTCAATTCGACAAATGAGAATTTTCAACCTTACCTTTTTGTTACTTACCATCTTAGTGGTAGGTTGACCAAATAAGACATGATTTAGTTTGCGATTTGACTCCTTAGACTTACTGACTGTACATTACTTTAATGCTTACAGATTCTCTCTGCTGTGGACGTTGGTGAATGCGGAGTTATCGAAAAGATCAGAAAGATAGCAGGAAAAGTGGTTCCGATTGTCGGTACGGTTGGTACGGTCGTTCGCACAGGAGTGGATATATTTAAGAAATTCAAAGGTGGAAAGTGATATTTTGTGCTCGATTGTCGATAAACCTTGGCATTGTGATTCAATTGTAACACAGTCATTAAGTTGTTGACCAATGTTAACAGCAAGACTTTATTGCGCGACAAGCTAACGTTGGCGCTCCGTCCGCCTTCATCAGGACTTCCTGAAAGATTGAGACTTTGAGAACTGCCTGCTCAAACACCCTGTTTGGCAGTAAATTCAGTCTAGCTATTCTGATGGAGTAGTGAATAGATGTGCAAGCCTGAATTCAGCCTTTTCAGATCGGAATGTAGAGACCGAACAACCAGTACTGCGCTGCTGCTGCACTATGAGTGAGTATGATAGTCAGTGTCCACAATGCCCTTATATGGTTATATAAGATCTCGTATTAGAATCCACATAGTGTTTGATAGGAAAACAGTTCGATGTTTATTTATTTATTTATTTAATACATGCGCTCTAGGCGTTCCTTAAAAAGACAAAAATACACAGTTGCTCATTATTACTTATAATAACGGGTTAAGGATGTTTACGTGACTTTGTGTGTCTGTCTGTGTGTGTGAGAGTGTGTCTGTTACGAAATTCGTAGAGCATGCTCCAGCCAACCTCCTGGGCCCAAATTTCGCACAGCGCATGCTACCCGCAAGAAAATCCAACATGCAGAAGCACGAGCAGATTCGTTGGGTGGATCCCTCAGAAACTGCGCGTCAAAAGGATCCACGTTGCATTTGGTCCGCAAAATTGGGTCCGTAATTCCACTTTCTGCAGAGTCGCGGATGTTTATGCCAAGTAAATGTGCAAGCCATGAACTTAGGCTCAAAAAAGTGATCAAAAGTTCATTACTTTACAAAAACGGCGCCAAAAAGTATTGGTTGCGTGAATGGTCAATTTGCCAAGGTTTTACCAGAGCATTTGACGAGATTTTTGCACAAGGATCTAGCTCACGGTAACTGCTGTTCTTATCGTAACTGTTAAGACCATAGGAAAATCAAAAACCCATAAAAGCCTGCGTTTGTTCTCCTGCAAAATGTCTCATCCACGCGAAATCACCGATTTCACATTAAAAAGCTTTCGGAATGAGTAGTTGTTTACATTTTGTTCGTGATAGTCGGCATTGCTCGGTAAGTTTCAATGCCATACTATGCGAGAATGAGCGGGACCTAGATAGTAGAGCCAGTGCGAGCCTCTGCGAAGCAAAGGTGACGCACTGGTACTCTAATACCACGATAATTCATTATGTAATTTGGGTCTAAGCATTTGGACTAGATAATATATGATAATGATAATATACGTTTATGATAATGCCTTCATCTTTGCTGTTCATTTTGGTGGTTTAGACGCTATCCAAAAGGCCTCCAATGTTTTGCGGGCCATTAACTCCGATTCGTGCGACAAGATCATAACACTAACTTGAAAGTACTGTTCTCATGACATAACCTTCCTTCAATGTGCACCCATTTTGGATTTTCTAGGGCATCAAGATGTTTTGATTCTTGTGCACGAGGGTGTGCCGATCTATCTTTTGTATTGGTCACCGCATTTTTGACACTTTATGAAATATACCACCCCTAATTCCATGCAGTCGTCTAGTTTTCCAGAGCCCAGATGATACAATCGGCGGTCTTGCACATTCTGTCGTACGCACGATTTAGAAGCAGGGATATCTATAACTTTGACAAAATCATCAAGGCTCGAAACAAAGATTTTCTTATAGTTTCTCTTATAGTCTCTTATAGTTCTTATAGTTTTGCTAAAATCATCATACGAAGAACACAAAACGATATTTTTGTTGTCTGGTTCATTTCTATCGGTCTGCTTTCTTGCCTACAGGTATGCATTGGTGCACCTTTTGGGGATAGCCGTTATGATACGCAAGCTCTTTGGCAAGGTTCATCGATGCATTGTGGTGTTGGATGTTGGATAAGAAATAGTCATGCACATCGAAATCCAGGTAATCAATGTGCGAGAATCTACCAGGCTTGAGAAAGTAAAAAAGAATTCGAGGAGGTAGCAAAAACAAAAGCATTTGTTACTGAAAGAATAGAACTCGGAGTCAATGTAGAGTATAATCCCGACTTCCAGTTTAGCGGAAAAGGAAGAAAACTGTTTCAAAAGACATCCCTACAAGAACAACCTTATATTTGTACACAAGCTCATTTTGGAATCGTTATTTTGGAAAAGAGAGAAGTACGGTCTTACAATACTAGGGAAGTGGTATGATGTAGTCTCTCGAAAAGCATAGTCTAAGAATAGATGTTTAGTCATACGAAACACAAGCTGCTCACAACGAGACCTGATAAATCTTGTCCATGCCTTGAAAAGCATCGTAGCAAATGTACGCCGCTATAAAGTGGTTGCACACTAGTTATAGTAAGTCATTCGGAAAGTATTTTCGCTTTTTGCGCCTTTGATGTTGGCACCATATTTTAAGAGAGTGTTACAGGGCTGAAAGGGGATTGCTATATATGGATCTTCAGAGGAATTCTTCTAGTTTTTGAGTTTTTTTGAGTTTTTGAGGATATCTATAACTTTGACAAGATCATCGAGGCCCGCTTGAAACAAAGATTTTCTTATTAGTTTTGCTAAAATCATCATATACGAAGAACACAAAACGATATTTTTGTTGTCTGGTTCATTTCTATCGGTCTGCTTTCTTGCCTAAATTTGTATGCATTGGTGCACCTTTTGGGGATAGCCGTTATGATACGCAAGCTCTTTGGCAAGGTTCATCGATGCATCGTGGTGTTGGATGTTGGATCAACGTTGGATGAAACCGATTTTGCTGTCTTGAACATGTTGCCTACGGACCGTTTCATGCTTCAAGGTTGCGCAGAGCGGTAGCAAATTAATATAGTCTTACTAGCTCGTTTGCATCATTTAGTTACGTATGATCTGTAAAATATGAAAACTTGGACGTTCAGGAAAGCTAGCCAATTTTCGTCGAGTTTATCCCGCGTGAATCTTATGTTAGGGTATTGGCTATTCAGAATGTCAAAGCATATGCCTATCTCACTTTGAGTTGGACATATTATGCACAGTCATCAATGTATATATATAAAAGAGCAAGGGCCTACAAGCAAGTACTTTATGTTTTTTAATTTTTGACATAAAGGCGATTGCGACGCCGGGAGTCAATCTTTGCCCCGTCGCTAGGCCGTACCTGTTTGCGGTACCTTTCTGACCAGCGGAATATTTTTAGCTACTTTTTTATGCTACGGTATTTATTGTTCAAAGCTATGTTGACCCACCACTAAAGATCGCGCCTGCAGAGTCAGTAATGGCAGAGATTAGTAGAATGCCTTATATAGATGTATTCTCAGATCTAATCACATATCAGACTCTTTGTGAATTTGGTTTATCAAATTCACAAAGAGTCTGATATGTGGTTAGATCACTATTCTTGGCAACGCTCTCTCCTACAGTTCATTGCAGGAGCTTTGGATGTTAGAAAGTTTCCAACATTAAATTACTTCATCGCCTTCAGATTGTCAGACTGTCACTATCTCAGGTGTGAGTGGTCGGTGCAAAGAAGTTTATAATCGTCATTTCCGTGGATCACAACGCTCAAATTCACTTTGCAGTTAGACAGCAGTATTTCAACGCACACTGCGCCGTGCACATTCGCTAAACTAGTCTGAGAGCTGGGCTCAGGCTTTCTGAAATATTTCGTTTGAATTCTTTTTGATATCAAGTAGGGTACAAGCATATCTTGCTTAAAATATTAGGCATCTCCAAATTTTCTTGATACCGCTCATTATCAACCATCAAACTGTTTTTATATTCTATCTGCAACTAGTAGCGTCGCGTTATTATATCTTCATTCTAGTTAATAGATTCAGCGAATCACGCATGAATAAATTTTTGAAATTTTCCATGTTACATGATTCACTGCTTCCACTTCATGCACTGGACCACATAAAATGTTCTCCCTCTGAGTTCATTATTTTTTCAATTTATTCTATCTCTTTTTTTGATTAACTGACTGTTACGAACATTGCACAATGATATTTATAGGTTATAAGGTCATAAGATCTACAGGTTTACCTTTTTTAGTTTTTACTTCTTTTCCTGCTCTTGATGAAGAATTATTAGGTCATTCGGAAAGTTCATTCGTTTTTGCAGCACTGAAATTCAAATAAGCACAACTTTTTTCAAATCCAACCTTTCCCCACCAAATAAACTTCATTGTGTTCAGCAATTTTCTGGTAACAGTAATGTAGTGCACTTGGACCCTTTTCTTGTAAAATGACCTCAGAGAAATCAATGAAACTCAAAAAGGCGTTTTTGACCAGCTAATTTTCATTAGGTCGTGCTATTTTTTAATAAGCATCGAGAAATTAGAAAATTTGGTGATTGGTAAAGAAAGGTCTAAAGAGTTCGAAAAATAAACAGGAACCTCGATGCGCAGTCAATCCCTCTTTTGTGAGGGCCGCATTTCTTACATGTGGTCTTGCGGGGTCTTGGGCGAGGATGGCACCTCTCATAAGTTTCATGCGCAAGTCTGCTCAGTTCTGAAATTCTGACAAATGGCCTTAAGAGCAGGGCACGGCACAGGTGGCTTAGCAAGCAAGCTGGATATCGTTTTTTTGGAAAAAGCAAAGGGGATGTCGTTTTTGCGGAAGAGCATAACGTTGTCTTTCGACCTGCGGCCGGCACGCTGCCGGCATGCCGCTAGCAAATAAACAAAAGGTTTGTTTACAGCGAAGTGAGGATGAAATGACACCAAAATAGGTGTGTAGATGGACAATGGGGAGTTAGAACTAAGTATGAAAAATTATGCAAAAATTATGTGAACTAAAGGCGTGCTCAACTTTTTTCGGAGTTAGGTAGCTTTCAAGCCACCTGGATAGCCACCTGAGGTGGCTTAGGAAAGAAAAAGTCATAAATTTTTCCTCCCTCACATAATTTTTCTACTTTCTTTACATACTTTTCATCTACATCCCAAACCCTACAAACTGGTTCCTAAGCCGCCTCAAACCCCCTTCTCCCCGCTTAGTTATATCCCCTTGAAAATTTTGAATGGCCGCGGAAAGGCTGCTCTAGGCGCGTTTCGCTGCAC